TGGTCTTAGTTCAGAGTCTAAGTCCCTGATTGGTCCTATAGAGAGGGCACAGTGGGTAATCTGGAAGTGAGAGACTAGAATCTACTTAGCACAACCATACAATCAGGAACTTAACTTTAGCTTAGCCAATGTTCATTATGCACTCGGGAGAGGGTAAAGAATGTTTATGCTTATATTTGTCACAAAACCATATTTTAACCAATAAACATTCAATTCCAACACAGATTATGACCTCATTGCAAGGGGAAAGGGAATTTTTATAATTTAAGAACTTTTCAAAATTTATCCATTCTCTTTAAATTAGATCTTTATTTAATTTAGTTAACTTTAATTTTATAGTAAACTAGTGAATTTAAGAAAACCAAACTTTTTGGAATTCCAAACTAAGACTTAATAGTAGTAAATTAGAATTTATTCTACTGGATTTCTTAGCTCGCTTCTCTATGGGATCGATATAGAGGTTTTATTGAAAGTCATGTATTATTTGAAACGTGTGTAGATCACATAGTGTGTGAAATATAAATCAATTCTATGTTCTATATCATATTCATTTTGCACACTCGCCGCCAAAGGAAATTGGGTCAAGTTTTTGGTATGGAAACTAAATAACCGCATAATTGCGGGTTGGGCCAAATTGTCCACCCCAAAGTGGAATTTTAGGGATGTTCCTCAAAGAGGACTCTTAGAATTGCTTGCCCTGGATTGGAATCTTAAAGTTGTACACACCTTGCGGGGCTTACCTCTTCCAGCTATTAATACTGTGATTTGGGAACAGGACGATCGTTTACGCACCCCCTCGTGGAGCATGTCACTTTTGGGTCTCATAGACCTCTGACGATCGTTAAAGACCTCGTTGCTATGAGTTAACATTATAAATTGGACCCTCGCGGAGCTTGTCGTTGCCGGGTGCCAATATGTCTCATAGGATTATGGCGATCGATAAACACCTCTTGCGGAGCTTGTCGTTGTTAGGCATTAACATTGTGATTTGGGCATAGGACGATTGTTTAGGCACCACTCACGGAAATTGTTGTTGTCAGGTGTTAACTTTGTGATTTGGGAACAGGATGATCGTTTATGCACTCTCCATAGTGATAATCAGAACGTAATATTCTTTGTCAGGCATCCAACATTTCAATTCAGAACTAAGCACATTCAGATCAGGTATCACTTCTTTCGATCATTGCTAGAGGATGAACAATTGTTACTTAAGAAGATATGTGAAAGGAAGAACCCTGCGGATATGTTGACTAATGTTGTTACACTTGAGAAACTAAAGTTGTACTCAACTTTAGTTGGTTTTCCAAATGGGAGATTTTTTGAGTATTGTGGTTCCTGTTGACAGTTTCCTCTGTTTGGCGGTTATTCAAATTTTTTATTCTTTCCTCTATTAAAGGATCTCGCCTGTGTTTTTTTTGTTTTTTGGATCTCGCCTACTCTTCTTCCCGTAAACGGAATCACGCCCTTCTCCTCATTCGCGTCTATAAGAGAATACCCTCTCACTGCACTATGATGTGTCGCTCTCTCTCTCCAGTTCGAAGGGAGAAGGAGTCACAGGTGGTTGAGCCTATGGAAATCTCTCAGTTTTTGCGTGAAGAAGATTTCAATGAAGAGACCTTACATAAATACCCTCAATTTGATGAATCTTAGTTTGTTAATTTTATAGTTTGTGATCTCCATTATTTTGTGATGTTATCTTCTATTTGTCAATCTTTTTTGAGAGTTGAAGGATATGAGCTTAATTTTCTCCATACTGCATGTGATACCTGGGGCCTAACTCATGGGAAGTTATGATATGTCTAAAAGTTGGTTTCTCATATTAATGAGCATAATTCTTGTATACAATATTTTAGGTCAACCATTGAATAAAAGGTTGTGGATTATCAGAAATAGTTTCTAATTGATTGCACCAAACAATCACATGCTAGAAAATTCACCACGGTAGAACAAAAATTTTAAATCTAAATGTTACACTAAAATTCCACCCACAAATAAATTAAAGAAAAGAATATAAGTGATACTAAAACTTTGATGTGAAAATTTGAACAAAATTTTAGATATTTAAACACCCTAAAAATGCAACTATGTATCTCAAAAAATGATTTATAGCGACTTTTAAGTTACAATTTGCATCAGCCATAAGATGATCCAGCTAAAAGAGTTGATCATAGCTATTCTAAATAGAGAATATGCAAGTTTAAAGTTAACATACAATGATACAAACATATATTCAATATCATGCTTTTGGATACCATAAAAAAGGATTGCATAAAGATTCAGTTGCATCCCTCATCACATATGTAAATCATCACATGTAACCAAAGATTGTATCTCGTTTCCATCATGTAATATATCTTATGATATTTAGTAAAGAAAGCAATCAATTCAAAACCTTCACATCAAGACAAATCGCACTTGCACACTTTGTTAATATCTATAGTCTTTCCAAGATCAATTATTAGCCATAGAATGGACAAATTATATGCTTTCGCTGCAAAATCAGCAGAAATGATGCGAAATGCTTTAAATTTGCATTCAAACCCAAAAAATTGGCATCTGACAGCATATATTAATCCTCCTAAAAGTAAAAGGAAATCAACCTAACAAAATCAAATTTATTGATATACCGGAAGTCAATGATACTGATTTGTATTAAAGGAATTATCAATGAAACATAAATGTGACCATGATTTATGTTCCACGATGGAATTAAGTGAGAGTATGAGAAATACATTTTGAGTATAGATGAATATACTATAGTGTTTGAATGAATTTGAAAAAATAGTTATTACTTATGGCTTAAATAAGCATAGAAGTTGTGTTGTGATGACGCGTAAGGGCAAATGGTCTTTATTAGCCTGAGTGCAATTTAGTAATTTAATATTTATTTTGTTTAGCGTAAATAGGATTAATATACTTAGTGTTGGGATTATGTAAATTATTATTGTGAGTATTAGGGTTAAGATTTGGGAGAAATTTCCTACCTCTCGAATTGTAGGAAGTGTGAGAGATAGTATGTCTCTCGAACTGTTTATTTTATATATTTGTGTCCTATCAAATTGGTATCTGAGCAATAAAATAAAAAAGTTGGTATCATAGTAGAAAAAGCGTGAGCAATAAAGTTGTTACTCACAATAGCTAGAAAAAGGAAGATGGATCATAGCTTGGAAAATGAAGACATGATCATGAACGCGATATAGAGGCGTCGAGACGGGAGCACCCTTTTAGACCGAGCCTCATGGATAAAGTCGCGGCAGTCGCATGGGATCACGACTACAGAAGGATTGCATCAATCCTTCAGACCGAGCCTCATGTCTGTGTGACCCAAATCGTGATTGGAGCTAGAGGGGAAGCAACAACGGGAACGATGTCTCTACTGTGACCAAACTTTGTGCTACAGTTGCAACTCTACAAGAAGTCAACGCGGGATCATGGCCTACATAGATAGAAACTTTTGCCTTTCTTCTCTTTCCACGATGTCCTAACAATACAATAGTGATTTGAGCTTGCTAGGAAGATGGATGGATTGTGATGTCTCCTTAAGGCAGGACTCGAGCTAGCTGGGAACTTTTGAATCACGGGTCTCCTCCCATGTTATTGAAGATTAGGGTGAGAACAGGGTAGCGAGCTTGAGATCTGGCATGCCTTAGTCGTGATACAATAGTTATTATGGTGATATGGGAAGTCGAGGGCAAATCAGAACTTGCGATCTTGTGGTATAAACACAACCTAGACAATGTGGGAAGCCTTCGACAAGATTTCAATATACTGTAATGGTGGTCAAAAAAGCTGAGGCTTTAGAGGAAAAAAAAAAGAAAAAAAAGACGAGACACATCCGATCTGAAAAAATATTAATGATTCTCATCCACAGTGGGGCGATTGGAGTTGAGATTCACAATTCTAGAAGAAATGATGAAGAAGATCATGAAGAGTCACACAAAACCTCCTTTGCTCGCCACTAGATCAATCAACTGCGCTGAAACAAATGTGAGCAGCAGCAACCAGAATAATTTACATGACATCAAGGCAGTGTCACAGCTTTAAGCAGATTGGGAGCCGTGGTATTGAATGAAGGAATTGGGATTCGAGCAGCAATATGTGAATGGAATTGCACGACATCTTCAAGTTTGAGATGAGCAACAGTATTCAGATCGAAACAACGTGCAATTCGAGGATGAAGAAGATCGCTTCGAAGGACTTTGGTCTGGGATGAGAAACATGATGGGTGGGACCCCGATGAAGGGTTGTATCCATTGAATTAGTGCTTCAAAAGCCTTCTAAGTGGAAGAAGTTTCAAAAGTAATGATGGAAACGAAATAGGTGGACACAAGCAAGGGAGCTCGTAAGGGTTTAATTTGAACACTACTGAGTGTTCAGGTGGGAGAAAAGATGATTGTGCTTTGCGATGATCCCAATTTATGCAAGATATTGGTGACTTTGAGAGTTATGATGAGCACGATTCAGGATGCAAGGCTGAGATTTGTGATCGAGTTGCATAACTTAGAAGAGGCACATGATACAAATTTAATAGAGATTCTCGATATCAATAAGATACCAGAATAGTTGCTTAGGGTGGTAGTGTTCTTCCAGATTGACTTGAAGCAGGGTGTCATCAGATTCGGATGTTGTCAAAGGATGAGCACAAGACGATAGAATCACTAAGAGTTTTTGATTAAATGAAACAATTTGTCAGATAATGACACCCCATGAATACTTACCTCTCAAATTATAGATGTTTATCCTTTATTTCTATATATTATTATAATATTTACTTTAAAAAAGCAAAATATTTATACCCTACTTTCTATAGAGAAACCCATTGGTTTGCCTCACAGAAACAGGTACAACAATAAATCCCCAGCATAAGTCAACATTTTTGTAGGAAATGTCGTTTGTACAAGCACATCTCTGGTAAAGAGAAAGGGACACAGACTCTTGCTAAGAATTAAGCTTAAGAAAAAAATGGCACAGAAAAATCAAGATGCTCGAGTAAACTCAAATCCAACCAAATTTCAACCATGCTTTATAAGTTGGGCAAAAAAATGAAATATATTAAAGGTTTCTACAATATATGGAAAATACATGCAAACGTCAGAAAACACAGCAGCAACAAATAAAGCAAACCCATAATAATCCACAAATAAACCAACTCAATTAGGCCTGGGAGTAGCCCACTCAACTCTGAGAATGAGATTATCATAACCATACCCATTCAGCTTATTAATGGCCTTCTCCGCATCCTCTCGGTGGACGAAGTTTACAAACCCAAACCCTCTGCTCACCGAAGTTTTCTGATCCACAGCAACATAAACACGGCTCACCGGACCGAAGGTGCGGAAAAGTTCGTGAAGGTCGGGCTCCCTTGTGTCCTCAGAAAGATTCGTAACACGCACCGAATTCTCGTCATTTCTGCGCCTCATCTCGGTGCCGCTCCTATCAGCACCTGCTCTCATGCCTGGAGGAACATAGGTCGACTTGCCGGCAGCACCTGTAGAAGTTTCTGCTGTTGGAGGTTTGTCGATGTAGGTATCGGTTGGCTGGGCCAGATCCTTGTAAGGACATTTTGAAGTCCAATGATCACCCTTTTTGCCGCATGTCCTGCAGACCATGAGGACAGCCCCAGCTTTCACCATGGACGCGAGTGGGTCTCCGGAGGACTTGTGTTCTTCCACTTTGCTACCTGCATTTTGAGATAATTCCATGAGCATATGAAAATTTTTCAAGCACTTTAATTAAGCAAGATTTGCATGCATACCATACCGCTCAATTCTTATGTATTCACACATCAAACACAAACATCAAATCTTATCTCTATGCCACCTTATTTATGCATAAAAGGGAGTATTTCACTCTTTAATAGCTAAAATAGTGATATTATTTTTGTGATATAAAAGACTTGAGTGGTATAAATGAAAAAGGTAAATTTAGATGTTAGTTGTGTAAATACGTAGGAATTGGGTGCTATGCATGTAAATTAAGTGAAAATGGGCATTTCGGCATTTTAAATAGCTCCATAAGAAAATACTTGCACAGGTTCACAACAATCATGGGAAAAAATACCTACAAAGAAATATCTCATGAACTTCGTTGGTCAATAGATTAATTTGATCACGAAGTTTTATTATGAAAATTATGGGGTCAGTTTGACTTTATCTTTTTCAAAATTAAAATTTTTTAAAAAATGTCCTTCCGAAGCGGGCAACGGGATTTCAATTCCGATGACCGACAGCTTCTTACGGGCAAACTCCACACCAAAAATAGTGCCGACATATGTCTTTCTATGTTCGATCACTTTTACATTTATCATATATTTTTGAATGAAATTATACTTTAAAGAAAAATTATTTTCATATTTATCTTGTAGGTATAACACTTGGAGCGGTT